CACACACGCCCAATTTTTTAGTTTTTTTTTTTTTAGTTTTTTTTTTTAGAATTGACAATGTCTTAAATTAAGTATCATAAAGTTAAAAGTAAAAAGGTGTTGAAAATGGAGTTAACGAATTGTGTCAAAAACTAATGTACAATGAAATGTAAAAAAAAAAGGTTGGATGAAATGATATTCAAGTAAATAAATATTACAATATCTATTCTCTATATCAATCAATACCCATTATAAAGTGTAGGGTCTACAAAATGATCATTTGGTCGCCTTGGACTTCTTGGGGGTTCATAATTCCTTGGACTTCTTGGACTCCTTGGATTTACATAATCACTCGGACTCCTCGATGAATTGGAATACATTGGCGCAGATCTCGGCATGTTATTGTACGCAGTTGGTGGTTGACTTGGTGCTGCATTATATGGATAATTTGGTGTTGCATTATACAGATTATTTGGTGGTGTATTATACAGATTATTTGGTGGGCTCAACCCATTATTATTATGTGGTATTGCTGGATAAGGATCATTTATATTGTTATTCGAGGGACCATTGTAAGGCGTTGGATCAACCCATTTATTGTTATTCGCATTATTAGCAGCATTACGATAACGACCGTTCCCTATAGCTGCTGCTTCTTCTGGAGATAATGATGAGATGCGTGTTGTGAACCCACTACGTCGTCCTCTATCCTTACGATAAAGGCATTGACAGCAACTAAAAAATGATACAAAGTCAATATTTTGTTAGTAATTTAAACTTTTAAATAATATATATAGACAATAAAATTAATCAGCCTAACCATAATATTAAAAGTATTCCCAAAATTATGGCAATAGGAATTACTATTTTTTTGTTTTGATTTATCCAATTCGAAACAGTGTTACCTATTAAAAATGTTAAATGTTTAAAAAAAAAAAGTTAATTATAATTGAATGAAATGTTATTAATTAAATCTCAAATTACTTATATACCAATTGAGCCGTTTACGCATGTTCCATTACCACACGTTCCACCAAATCCACAGGGAGTACCGTCCACAAAATTTCCACTCATTTCAAGGCATTGAGTTGTATCATTCGGATTAGCACAACTAATAGTACATGATGAAGACGGGATGGAACATGCTTTCGTAATTCCCATACTAGAACCACGGTTTGCACATTGTTGATCCCTCGATGTACATAAGCCATTAGCACATTTAAGTCCATTACCACATGATGTACCATCCGTAATATGTGCATCTGGTGGACAATCTGCAGAATTCCCAGGACAAACCTCTGGAATATCACAATTGGAGATTGAAGGTCGACAAGTTACATTGAAAGCTCTAAAAGTACAATTCTTGCAACATAGATCGTTTATATCACTATTAAAAAAGTGAAACATTAATATTTATGGAATAAATGTGGTTTAATTGTAAAAGAAATGATATACTTACTCGCATTGCGAACCATTCGTTAGTTTACATGTTGATCCATTACAACAGGGATCTGCTGCACAGTTAGTACCACCTACATGTTTTGAATGGAATTAATCAATGTAATATAAAAGAATTATACAAATGATAGATACAAATTTGTTAACTCACAGTCACATTCTTCTCCCGCCTCCTTCAGTCCATTTCCACACATAGCAAGAGTAAGAATGGTTTTTGAACTTGTAGCTGGATCTAAAAATTCCTATAGATGTTAATTTTTTGGGAAACATTTGAAAAAGATAAAATTATTCTAGACGAGACAAACCTTGGAGACAAGAACCAATATTTGGTAATGTGTTACATACGTCAGTGATTGAACATGGACTATAAAATAATAATTAATTAATTTTTCTGGTAGCAATAATAAATGTTTATTAACATTATCGTAGCATACCTGAAATCATTTGTGACCACGTTGCTTGTTGGATTCATAATATACTGCCCACTAGCATCACAAGTTGTTGAACTCAATGGACAACAATTGCAACCATCACTGACGCTGCTACATGGGCAAGTACTTGAAGTGCAGTCATGGTAAGCACCTATATAATTATGTTCATTTAAGTAAAATTGCCAATATTCTTGTAGTAGTATATATTTAATAATTACCGAAACCATGCCCAACTTCATGTGCGACTACTTTCCATTCATCTGTAACAATTGTGGATACACCAGCTCCTGAAACATAAGCCGTACCAGTAGTGCCTAAAAATGACATAAATTTCATTTACGATTTAATAAGTTATATATTTTTTGCAATATAAATTTACAAATAATCAAATGTTATTTACCATTGTTCTGCGATGTTGCTGAGGTTTGACATAGTTGTCCTAGCCAAGCAATACCAACTTTTGTGCCAGTACTTTATAAAAAAAGTACAAAAGGTTCAAATAAGAATAATTATACAAATGTATGTGATACAATTTACATTCTGTAAACATGCTGTAAACATGCTGTAATCATGCTGTAATCAGGGATTAAGTTAAAGCAAAATTGTACTCACTTGCATTTGGACAACAGATGCCATAATGCTGCACTATCATTCGCTGTAAAAAAAAGAAATGTAGGTAAAGTTGGGATATAAAGACGTGACTTAAATTCTTAATAAAATTTGATTTATTTGATTATTTACCTCTGGCACCTCTCCATTGGCTAAAATCACTCAATCTGTCACTTATACCATAAGAATTTGAACAGGGTCTCTTCCATGCCGGATTAGGAGTTGTGGGACAGGTTTGATTTTGAATTACAATATAAATTAAACCAAGGGTGACGTTAAAAGTTCTTTCATAAACAGCTGATGCCGTGCCCCAATCATTAAGAATCTGACTTCGAGCCGCCTCTGGTGATCCATAACTTTGAACTGTCGAGCAATTTTAAAATAAGAAAAGT